TTTCTAAGATGATGACTTTTGTGGAATAACCTCCTTGGAATGCTTCTAACTCTCGAAAATTTGATGAAGAAGAAGGAGTGTTTCTTTGAGAGTGTTTGAGTGAAATGTGTGTGTGTGTGTGTCTTTCCCTTTGTGGTTCTCGGCCGAATGAAGGAAAAAGAGAGAAGGAGAAGAGAGAGTGATGATAATATGGTTGCTTGGAAATATGAGTTATTACATGGAGAACCAAAATATAATAAGGAGGTGGCAAGTGGAAAGTCAACTCTTCCCCCCCCCCCCCCCCTCATTTATGTAGTTGGGCCGAGGAGAGGAGAAGAAGAAAAAGAAATTGGGCCTTTTTGTGCTTAAGTCCATTTTATGGCCCAATTAGGTGATTTTTCGGCCCATTGGGCTCCCATGATGGTTTACCGCCCAATTTGTCAAAATAATGGGCTTCATAGTCCATTAGAGTTAATTAGGTTAGTTATGGCCCAATGAGGCCCATTAGGGTATTTTATTTCATTCTAGGCCCAATATGGCCCAAAATGTTAAAATAAGTGGAAGCGGGTCCAATTAGAGTCCACATAGGAGTTCTAAGCCCAAAATAGTCAAATTGGAAGCTTATTGGTCCATTAGGCCCAATAAGGAAATCCTAGTCCATAATGGACTTAAACCGGGATTTCTAGGTTTTCCGATTCTTAGTTGACTATTTGCAGTGCTTGTATAAGGTGTTTGATGGAAGTTTTGTTGTTATTGAATAAGCATTATACATGTTTTCTCATTTTGGTTCACAAATGTTATCATTGTTGTTGTTACAAAGCATCAAAATTTCTAGTTGTGACAGATATGCATGAAAAATAGAGAAGGCCCTTCTTCTCGTTGTCCATACCCTCGAAGTCTCTTTTCATGGGTTTTCTTGAGATGCCCCTTAACCTCTTCCACAAGCATGCTTCTCAAGTCTCCAAATTGTTTTATAGAATCGTATTAGAACGACTTGAAGAAACTTCTTCACCACCATAATCTCCTCAAATTTTTTACTATAGACCGAATATCGGTCACAATAGTATTTAATCTCATGAAAAAATCATTTACCGACGCATTGTCCTTCATTCGGATCGCCTTGAAGTCATTTCTCAAGGTTTATACTTTAACATCCTTTCCTGTATTGGCTCCCATGTGCATCGTCTTAAGCGTTTCTCATGCTTCTTTAGTCGTGTCCTTCTCGGCCAACATTAAAAGTATATCATTCAGAGTTGCTTGTTAAATAGCCGCAAGGGCTATCCTATATTTCCATTCATCTAATCTTGCATTTTAAATTGCATCTCACACTCCTTGTGCTTGCAAGCTCATTCTCATTTTTATAGCCTACACTGAGTAATTTAACTTCGTAAGCATTGCATAATGTGACGTAACACTATCATAATTCTCAGTTCTTTGAGTATCATCACCTCCAATATTGGTAATTCTTAGCATATAAGTGAGCATACAAATCACCAAGATGTGATACTACTTGTTGGAAAGTTCTTTGAGGGCCATCACCTCCTATATTGGTCATTCTTAGCATATACTTTGGCATACAAATCACCTCCGACATTTTTCATTCTTAGATATTATATGTTAAATGAAGAGTGAAATATTGTTGGAATTTATAGGATCAAATATTGGCCATTTTCTTTTGCTTTAAGCACCAACATCATAATTTTTCAATATAAATTTTCAATAGTAGCTTATCTGTACATAATATTTTTTTGTCATCCACAATAATGTCATGCAATTGCATATTGTACAACCTCTAAAACATAACCTGTATATGATAAAAAATTGTTATGTACAACGAAGAATTGTTGTATATGAATCATCTTCCTTTTCAACATTGTTAACTTTTAATAATAATTATAAGTGGTAAAGCATAGCTTTAACACGAAAACTTCAAAAAATATCATGGTTTTCAATTAACATCGCAAAAAATGTTACATTTAAATTTTTACCCATTATTGTTATATTTATTAGTATTGTAATTTTATTCTGAAAAGGCGTATATTAGGCTATTAGCTATTAAAATGACTAACACTTCTAATAATTAATTAAAATTTATACTTATTAAATCATATTTCGAAGACCATACAATTACTTATTTGATAGGGCAATGATATCATCTCATTGGGTTCAATAATTGGTTCGTAAGATGGATACTTATGGCATATTCATTAAACCTTAATGATTTTGATGTTATTATTTTAATAAAAGGAAGATCACTTTTGATCCATATTAAAACAATTAATTTAATTGCAAATCATGATTAGGAATCATATGTTTGTGAATAATATGAAATATAACTTTTCTTTTATCGAGTGCTTTATGATTCATGAGATTAAATATCTTCTTTCATCTGATTACACAGAGAATATTATATGATTTACGAGTTTAGATAACGAATACGCATCATGTTCTTTCTTTTCATAATTAATTTATTCTTTCTTTTTATAAGTAATCCTATATACTTATGTTAATCCTCGTCATCAATGCTTTCGCTTAACGCCAACACACAATATTACCATATAACTGAAAGGAAAGTTGGCTCGTGCTAATAGGGTTTATGAACTATCATTTTGTGGCTCTTTTGCCTTGATTTAGAACATATTGTTTTGGTTGCACATTTGATGCTGATAAGATACGTATATATTAACATATTTGAGATACGTATATATTAACATATTTGACAAATCGGAAAAAAAAATCAAAAGACTTAGTAACGGAATATGTCCCTCCCAATAACAATAACAATCACCATTATGATGCACCACAACAAGAATTCCTTTAATTGTAATGCATTAGGTATCTCATTTATGGAAAAAGGTAATTACCCTTTACACGTACTAGAAACATAAAATAAAGTTGTTAAGCGTCCGAAGACGACATAATATGCCCTTAGGAGAAAGTAGGGGTCATAAATATAGTAGAAAGGAAGACCAGAAATGACAAGAATCAAAATGCATAATTGATAGTTGTACGGATCGTTAAATGTGTTATATAACTTTATGAAGGTATCAAAGAATTTAACGTATGAAAATGACAAACTGAGAATCCGAATAAATGGGTTGAAGATAGAATGTTGGGATATTCAAAAATCCCAAATGCATCTTTTGAGAAAGTGAAGGAACTTTATATTCTTGCCAAAAGCAACAAAGCAAATTAGAAAAAAGATGTGTGTGCTCAAGATCCTCTCAGAATACGAATTTCTATATATGTTTTATACTGATAAGTCTCATATAACATAGATATGTTACACTTTTCAAATTTAATTGATGATCGAGTATCCATAAATATAACATCATGGATTATGATCATAGTACAACTTATTACCAAAATGGTGGGCCTTACCAAATGCAAATGGCATAAAGCAGAAAGCATGAACGAATAAAGATGAATGCGATGTGTTAAGGTTATTGGAGTTAATAAACAAACAAATGCCCATTGGTATCTATAATCCGTTTTTAGTTTCAAAGATTAGCCAAAGAATAGACAATATTATCATTTCTTAACAACCGAACTTTATTAAACAAAACTAGCAATAAACTAATTTAAAAAAACTATAATGTTGAAAGAACCATCTTACATTCTTTATAACTAGAAAAGATTCTCCGGTGTTGCCGGGGTCGGAAGGTATTGTTTTGTAAAGTAAAGTAGCATGTTGGTTGCTTTTTGTCCGTTAATGTGAGAGTAATTTGGTCTTTTCAGGTAGTAGGGACTGAATTTGTCACCATGGGTAAACCATATGGACCATTTATGTAATTTTGGCGGCGGTGGTGGTGGTGATGGCAGATGGTGGGTGGGTTTATGGTATTGAGTGGGTATTTTCTAATAAATAAAACATTAATTTAAAACCAAAAAGAGAATGTTAAATCTGGTAAACCATAGGGACCAATCGTGTAATTTTGTCTAACAATAATAATAATAATGATGAGGGACCATTTCTGCCAAAAAACTAAATACTAATAATATGTAATAAAAGGCGAGGGTTATGAAAAAATTCAAACCAAAATGAAAGGGTTGTTTGTGAACAAAAACATAAAGATGAATAGTCAATATTGTAAGTTGGAGGATCAAAATTGACAGTTAAAATCTTTCATAACTTTAATATATATATAATAACATGGCGTAGTTTTGAGTTGAAAAAAACTCAAAACTAAAGCATATTAATGTAAGATATTCATTGTAAAGAATGTAAGATATTCTTTCTAACTTTACAATTTTTTTTATTGAATTAAGTTTTCATTAATTTTTCGGACAAACTTAGTTAATCATCGCAAAACTATATATATATATATAGATATATATATATATATATATATATATATCAAGATTTATGCCTAATTACCATACTTTATACTATAATAATTAAGATAATATATATATATATAATATATATATATATATATATATATATATATATATATATATATATATATATATCAAGATTTATGCCTAATTACCATACTTTATACTATATAATTAAGATAATATTCCAAGTAAAAGACACCACAGAACAAACCACATATCTTTTTGATGTGACTATATAATATAATGGTGGTCACAAAAATAATGTACCAAATTTACTGCCCACATTTGTACGACCAAATTCTCTACCACTACTTGTTGTCACGCTTAAATTATCATTTTAACAAATACATGCTCAATTAAAAACAGTGAATATTCGACAAAATTGGATAATTTACCATTTATGGCTAAAAAAACATTTCACAACCAAAAACAATACAAAATAGAGAGCTCCCATAACAAGACCATCAACATTAGATAACTTGAAAGGGGCAAGACACGAAATAATATATATATATATATATATATATATATTATATATAATATATATATATATATATATATATATATATATATAAAAGGGCACACATACATACATATATCTAACATGTCGCAAACAAAAAGTTGTGTACAAAATGCATACTTCAAATCCAATACCCCTAGTCCCCTACGGCCCACCCCTCCCCTCGCCCAACTTCTTGAAATACCAAAATTACCCCCTTAACTACTAAAAATGAAAATGGATAGTGATGGTAAACTTAACTATGATTAACTAATCAATCCCTTGCCACGTCATCAAACCCTAGCCACAACCTCGCAAACCAATGGTTTCTTCATTTCCAATGACATCTTCAAACACTCTGACAAATCAACCGCATCAGTGTCCGACCCGGACCGGACCCATTTGAAGTTGTGAAGTAATTGAGCTAACCAGAGCTGGACCGTAGCCAAACCCATTACTTTTCCGGGGCAAACCCTACGACCCGCACCAAACGGAGCCAAGCGGAGATCCGAACCCATTATCGAAATGTCCTCGTTTATAAACCTATTCGGGTTAAACTTTTCGGGTTCAACCCAGATACAGTCGTCATGGGTTATGGCATACATGTTGACCATGGCCGTCGTTCCGGCAGGAATCATGTGTGGACCCACTTGCGTATCGTGGACTGCAAGTCGAGCCCATGATAGAAGTGGGCCCGGTGGATGCATCCGTAGGGTTTCTTTCACAATTGCATGGAGATATGGCAGGTGCGGTAGGTCCGTTACGGAAACTGGACGACCCGACCCGACAACAGTTTCGATTTCTGCTTGTGCTTTTGATTGTATGTCTGGGTGTAATACCATTCTAGCAAGAATCCATTCCAGCAGTATCGCCACCGTGTCAGTTCCTCTGAAGATCATTTCCTGTAAGATAAAATTTTGGGTTATGAAATGATGATTTCTGGTGTTAGATTTAAACCCATAGCGAAATTATGCTTACCCAGAGAACAGCGATCATGTCGGCATCAGTAAATTTGTTTTCCAATTCTAAATCAAGCAAAACATCAACGAAATCGCCGTCTTCAGCCGACGTAGTTCCGCCGTTCTCGGACCTCCTTACACGGTGTTCGTTGATGATTTCTTTTACGAAAACATTGACCCTAGTGACTAAATCTCTGCATCTCTTCCTAACCCCCTGAAAATCAAACCAACTTATGATAGGAAAATGGTCGCTCCAGTTGAAGATTCCGAGCAGCTCGTATCCTTCACTCACAAGCTTCTCAAGCTCATACCCATCTCCACCGCTGTTTCCATCGAAATCTTCGTATGATTTTCCGAACACAGACATCATCACATTGTTTAACGAAGCAAAATGAAGCAGCTTCTTAACTTCCACGAATCCATTACGATCCATGGACGAGGAAACTTGATCCACCATTTTTAACCCGATTTTCTCCCTAAACCCGCCAAAACTCGATATCCTTTTAGGGCTAAACAAATGAGTAGCCGAGATTCTTCTAAGGTTACGCCAATACTCACCATAAGGAGCAAACCCCATCGCACGATGAAATAAAAGCTCATACGCCGACTCCTTCACCGGCCGATCAGCAAAAGCAGAGCTATTCAGTATCTCCTTGGCCGTTTCTGGATGACTCGAGATAACAAAACGAGTAAACCCAACAGAAAACGCCATTAAAGACGTAGCATTGAAGGTGGTAGAGAGTTTCGCAAGGATTCGATGAGTCAAAGGCGAGGTGAAAGCAAACAGAAGCCCTAAAATGGGGAACCCCGAAGGACCAGGAATGGCGGTTTTCGTCCGGGATTTCGACAGAGCCCATGCGAGACCGCCGGGAGCAAGGAAGAAAGCAAAAACGGAGACGAAAACGACAACGCAGAGGAATAGCTGGAAGCTAAGCACGGATTGAGAGTTATTGTGAATGCAGAGAGCAGCAGAGGAAGACATTGTAGAGATAGTAAGTAGAGAGATAGTGATGGTGTAATGAACAAGAAAGGGGTGTCAAGGCTTTATATAGGGCAAGAAGACGTCTGTAGACTGTGGTTGAGCGCGTTATGAAACGGTTAAACAGAGTTAATAGAGGCGACGTTTTTTTTTTTTTTTTTTTTTTTTTAATAGATAGATATATATATATATATATATATATATATATATATATATATATATATATATATATATATATATATATATATTGGTATAAATACTCAAATATCGAATGATTAAAATATGCCATAACTTAAAATTATAATTTATCAGAGGTTAAGGAGTTGAGGAAGTGTTCGGCGATTTGTTCAAGGATAAATTTCAAATTCATCTTATTTTGTACCCACTACTACCGATTCATATGTTTAAATTTAGTACCAATATCGGTACGGTAGGGGTGTTCAAAAATATTTGAATCCGAATTTCTGATCCGAATCCGAATTATCCGCAAATTCGGATATCCGATTTTTCGGAATCGTAATTGGCTAGTGATTTTCAAATTTTTCGGATGATTCGGATATCCGATATCCGGAAAAAAACCACTTTTTCTTCCCAATACACATTCACGATCACGACTTCACTAACCCTACCCACTTCAAAGTTCAAATCGTCAGCTCCTTCCAAGTTTAAATCGTCGATACTTACAAGGTCATTGTTAACAAATATACTAGAATGTTATATTTTGTCATTGTTAACATTTGAACTAGTAATATGTAATGTTCTTTTTTTTTTTAATTTGTTGACATTTGAAAAAAACAAATATGGATGATTGCATTTTCGGATATCCAATTTGATATTCGATTTCGTATCCGAAATTTCAGATATCCGAAATTTTGGATATGAAATCGGATACCAAAAATCAACTATCTGAAATTTCGGATATCCGATTATGAACACCCCTACGGTACGAGATCCGGATTTGGTTCTAACCGATATCAGTACGGGATCGAGATTTAGTTCTAACTATTCATTCCTAACAGAGATTCATATGTTAGAATGCCTTATAACTCAAAATTATTGTCCCATCCTAATTCTCTTTAACTTTTATCTTTAGTTAAATGACATTTTTCTAGTTAACTTTTTGAAATAATTTTTTTTATAGATTTAATTAATTTAACTTTCAACTTTAAACCTTTTTTTAATATATTTTTTTTATAAATTTAAATAATTTATCATCATTTATCTAAGATGTTCAACAAAGTATCTCATTTGTAGTTTTTTAAACATAAAACATATTTTAAAACAAAAGTATAAATATAACTATGTCTATTCTTTATTTATTTATATATATATATATATATATATATATATATATATATATAAAAAATTATTATGTAACATTCCAATGTTCAGGTACTTCTAAATTCATCCCTATAATTCTATTTCATGTCAATTGGTTAAGTGGTAGCCCCCTTGGGTATAATTAGGGATTGGACACGGCGTGTGGGAGGCACCAACACGACGTGTCTAGATATGAGAAGGCGTGAGTTTCATTTTGGGCAACACGGCGTGTTTCCTCTTGGAACACGGCGTGTTGACGGCTGGAATGAAACCCTAATCTTTCGGATTTTTCTCCCTATTTAAAGAAATGTGGAGGCTAGGATTTGTTCACCCTCAGCCCCCATCAGCCCCTCAAGCCCTAAAAGAAATCCTAATAATTTTCTATCCCATTTGTAAAGCTAGTTTGGTGTTTTCGGGCTAAAAAAGGAAGAAGGTGGAAGAAAGAAGCAAACATCCAGCAAACAAGCCCCATTCTTCAGTTTGACACTCTTCTGGACCTTTGTAAGTGTCCAAGACCCGATTTGTTATCATTCAAAGTTGTTAGATCTTGAGTTTTGTCCCTTTTGCTCCTTGTTCTTGAATGTTGCAAGGGTTGGATCTCATAAAGTTTGCAACTTTATGAATCTCCAGGTCAAGGTGACCTAGTAGTGTCTTGGATCTGGTCTATGATCAAGTTTTGATGCCATGCATAGAGATTAGGTCATAAATCCTCATTTTTGACCTAATGTGGGTTCAAGACATGCATTGGACATCTATGTCTAAAAAGCACCAACCTTTGGGATGGTTTAGGTGTTAGAATCACTTTTAGAAAGGATGGACTTCAGATCTTAAGGATTAAGTGTATATTGGTTGAGCCATTGCATTATCAAGCTTATGATTTGGGTTTTTGGACCTTTTTGGTAGTCCTGTTGGAAAATTTATCCTTCCTAATCAGATTTTGGTCTAGATCTTAGCTTTGGAGCTCTTGGAGTCGAAAAGGCAGCTGAATGTATTAAGTTGTTGGAACTCGGGCGAACACGACGTGTTTTCAAGTCAACACAGCGTATTGGCTGAGGTTTTCCCGACTGTTTGGATGCTAGAGGAACACGACGTGGCCAAGGGGAACATGGCGTGTTGGGTCAACATGGACTGTTGACCTTGACTGTGGACTTTGACTAAGTTGGACCTTGAGGGTATTTTGGGATCTTGATGGAATTGGTCACTTGGTGGAAACATGTATCGGTTAGAGAACTGAGATTTTTTTGTCGGACCTCATCAGTTTTGTTCAGTCCGTGAGGTGAGTTTTCCTCACTGTACTTATGGGTCGAAGGCACCAAGGTCGACCCATTGGTTTAATAACCTGATTTTCATTGATATGTTGAGTATGGAATAGATATGCATGCTAGTCTGGTAGATCTGTAGGACTACCTGTGATACTGTCTGATTATCTGTGTATGCTATTATCTGTTATATGTCGACATATTATGTGCGTTGGGTTGAGGTTGTACTGCTTCGTGCGGTAGCCAACAAACCCTAGAGCAATCCAAATATGAGGTGAGGTGAGGGGAGGGCATGCCAGACTCATACTGAGGGCTCATGAGCATTCCAGATACAAGTTGAGGGCCGAGAAGGGCATGCCAGACTTGTACTGAGGGCTTAGTGGTATTCAGTCTGAGGACTGATCTGGTCGGGGAGCAAGCCAGACATAAGCTGTGGGCCGAGGGCAAACCATACTTATGTGTTGGGCTCAGGGGTAATCCAGTCTGTTAGTTGTGGACCCATTGTATGTTGTTATTGTATATATGTTATTTGTTGTGTGTTGGTACTTTGGGGGAACTCACTAAGCTTTGGGCTTATAGTTTTGGGTTATGTTTCAGGTACCTCAGATGATCGCGGGAAGGCAAAGGCATGATCGTGCACCTCCTCGTGATTTGTTTTATGATTTTGGGAAAACTCTGATAATAAACATGTTTTGAAAACTATTTTGTAAACAATGATGGTTTGTGGATTTGTTTGAAAAGTTTAAATTTTTTTGTGAATTTTATGGATGTTACAAGTTGGTATTAGAGCCTTGGTTTGAGTGAATTGGAGGAACACTCGTGTGAATCCAGTCTCAAACTAAGGAAAATGATTTTTCAAAATGGTTTTCAAAATAATCAAGGAGGATGCGATGTGTACGATCAGCCGGAGGCAGTAAGTAGACCCCAAATTACCACACTATTAGTTGATATGGTGATATGTTAGAACAACAAGCTAGTGATATGCTAGGGATCTTAAGGGATTTGCATGATAGAATTGTCTGATTATATGATGCCTGATATCTTAGGGTTCTTCTTATATGGAATTGACATCATTACTGTAGTTGCTTAGTGTATGCATGATGATTATACATAACTAAGATTCTATAGCCTGAGAATTTTTGGTTTGGCCTTATTTCCTATTCTTCTTTGATGAAGGGCTTAGGGTAGGATCAGATATTAGATTGTCTATAAGGTCCAGTGTTATGTATGTCTAGCATACACGAGTGTTGCAGGGTTGGTGGAAGTTTCATGGGCGAGTTGTGTGGGCTTAGCCGGCCAGTCTCGTGATGTTTAGCTTTCCTCTAGGAATTGAGGATCGAGTGACGAGTATGCTAGCATGTATTGTTAGGGTTGTTGTGATGATCCTCTGAGACAAATACGGGTAGGTGCGGAAGGTAGTATAGGTTCGTACTATTAAAAGCACATGACTCGTACGCGTAAGAGGGAAGTCACAACCCCTAGGTATTTGTTGGGAGTTGGTTCCCCTGATATGATATGTGTGTTATCTGATATCTTCCTGATTTATTTTCAGTATGGTGGTGACGAGACGTTTCGAGACCAGATCCGGGTCAGGATCGGGAGCTGGCAGCCAGGGTGGGCCAACTGTGTCTGAAGACAGGATTAGGGAGATTCTCCGAGAGGAGGTTGTGGCTATTGTCAGGGATCAGATACCGGAGCTATATGGGTCTATTAAAACCGCGATGATGGAGTTCTTTGATGACAAATACGCAGCCATTGCTGAGACTGCTGCTGCTGCAGCCTCCGTAGCCGTTGCAATTGCTAGGGTTGGACCGGGTCAGGTTTTTCAGTATCGGGACTTCGACAATACAAAAACCCCAACTTTTGATGGAGTTTAGGACCCGATCATAGCCACGAGGTGGCTATCTGATGTTGAGGGATGCTTTTTCACCTGCTCTTGCCCTGCTGACCAGAAGGTCAGGTGCGCTCTGAACCTTCTGAGGTCCAGAGCAAAGGATTGGTGGAGACTTGTTGCCAACTCGTATTCCCCTGAGCAGAGAGTTTTTGTGGCTTGGGAGAGGTTCTCAGAGATGTTCCGTTCTAGGTATGTGCCGCTGGTGGAGCATGAGAGTTTGGACCAGGAGTATTTGGACCTGAGGCAGGGGACGAAGATCACCAAGATGTTCACAGAGAGAGCTATGTTTTGTCCTGAGTTTGCTACATCTGAGCAAGCTCAGATGAACCATTACTTGAACATGCTCAAGACTGAGATCAGGCAGTTTGTTTCCACCCAGCGTTAAGGTTCCTTGTTGGAGTTGCAGGAGGCCACCAGGCGGCGCGAGATTGAGATTGAGTTGCAGACAAGGGAGCAGAGGCCGGCCTCGGCGCAGTCGCAACCTGCGCCAAAGCGGTTTAAGACTGCTAATGTCAGATTTGGGGGCCAGAAGGGCCACACTTGTGGGAAGTGCGACAAGGT